CCCCCCTGAACACACACACATGTAGCTCCATCACACCCCAGGGACATGTGTCCCTCCCCACAATGACACATGTGGCCCCATGTACCCCACCAGGGACATGTGTCCCCCAAGGACACACACGGATCCATGCAAATTTCCAAGGGAACATGCAGCCCCCCCTGACACAATGTGGCTCCATGCCCACCCCAGTGATGTGTGTCTCCCCTGAACACACACGTGTGGCTCCATGCCCACCCTAGTGACACACCCCATGACCCGTGTGTCTGCACACCCAGCGGGATCCCCAGGGGCCATACCTGGGCTGGGGGTCTCCCCCGGCCTGCTCGGCGCCCACCGAGAGCAGGGCCATGGCCGTCACCGTCTCGGCCTCCTCGGCCTCCCTGCGCTGGGCCTCCAGCAAGGACCTGCCCACGGCCGCCGCAAAACGCCGCACGGACCCCCAGTGCTTGCCTGCCGGGGGCAGTGTGACAGGGGACACCCCGGGCTTGGACAGGTCAGGGGACCCCCAGGGACCCCGTGGCTGAGATAGACCCAGGGAACAGGGACCACATGGCTGAGATAGACTCAGGGGACCCCCAGGGCTGCAATGGACCTGGGGGACTCCCAAGAACCCCAGGGCTGAGACAGACCCAGGGGACCCCCGACACTCCCATGGCTGAGACAGACCCAGGGGACCCCCGACACTCCCATGGCTGAGATGGACCCAGGGGACTCCCAAGGCTACAAGGGACCCTGGGGACCCCCAAGACTGATACAGACTCACGAGACCCCCAGGCACCACATGGCTGAGATGGACCAAGGGGACCCCTAAGACTCCCACAGCAGAGACAGACCCAGAGGACCCCCAGGGATCCCATGGATGGGATGGACTCAGGGGACCCCCAGGACTGGAACGGACCTAGGGGACTCTTGAGACTCCAACAGCTGGGATGGACCCAGGGGACCACCAAGACCCACACAGCTGGGACAGACCCGAGGGATCCCCAGGAACCCCATGGCTGGGACAGACCCAGGGGACCCCCATGGCAGGGACAGACCCGGGGGACCCCCAGGACTGGAACAAACCCAGGGGACCCATGAGACCCCAACAGTTGAGATAGACCCAGGGGACCCCTGAGACTCCCACAGCAGGGACAGACCCGGAGGACTCCCAGGAACCCCATGCTGGGACAGATCCTGGGCACCCTCAAGACCCCCATGTCAGGGACAGCCCTAGGGACCCTTCTCGGTCCCCCTCAAAAGAGAGAGAGCCCTGGGGACCCGCTCAGGATTCCAGTGGTAGCACTGGAGACTCTCCAGCTCCTTCCACAGCAAGGACAAACCCAGGGCCCCCCTGCTGGGGTCCCCCAGTGACTCTTCTGTGCCCCCCCAAGATAGAATCAGCCCTGAGGACCCCCCAGGGGATCCCATCAGGATCTGCCCCTGCCCCCCGTTCTCACTCTGGATCTCGATGACCTTCTCCAGTGTGGCCACCGCATTCACATTTGGCTTCTGCTGCAGCAAGGACGGATCCAGGGGCTCCAGCTGGGGAGAGGGGACACACATCAGTCACCCAAAACTGCCACCAGCACCCCCAAATCCCCCTCAGAGAGAGCAGGGACGGAACCCCAGCCCCTCACCAACCCATGCGGGGAAACTGAGGCACAACACGGGGTGGGCACCTCAATACACCCTGCCCCCAGGTGGGGTCCCCAGGGATTGAGGGGGTCCCCACCGTACCTCCAAGCCGAGCAGGGCGGAGACACAAGCCTCGGAGGCGTCGCAGATGGCCGTCAGGTCGTGGCCCCCCTCCAGGGCCAGCACCACCCGGCCCCCCGCCAGCATCATCAGCTGCTTCGTCAGGTGCCCGAAACCTGGGGGCACCGGAGAGGGGGGGTGAGGGGTGGCTGAGCCAGCCTCCCCAGCCCGGGACGCCCCCGGACCCCACTCACACTTGGCGGTGACAGAGTAGCCACCGAGCGGGGACAGGTGGCCCTCGACGGCGTCGAAGCCGGCAGAGACCAGCACCAGGTCTGGGGAGAACTCCTTGGCGATGGGCATCACCACCGTCCTGGGGGGCACAGGGTCAGCCAGGGGCAAGGGGACCCCCCCAGGGCTGTGGGGAGCCCCTTGAGGTGCAAGGATCCTTCCCAGGGTACAAGGAACCCCCAGGACACAGGGATCCTCTGGGGTTTGGGAACCCCCTCCAGGACACAGGGATCCCCTCTGGGGTGTGGGGAACCCCCCAGGAGTGCAGGGACCCTCCCCAAGGTGTAGGGAACCCCCAGGGTGCAGGGTCCTCCCCCAGGACATGGCAATCCTCTGGGATGCAGTGACCCCTTCCAGGACAGGGGGACCACCCCAAGGGTACAGAGAACCTCCCCCAGGACATGGGGATCCCCCTGGGCTGTAGGGACCCCCCCCCAGGGGCATGAGGACCCCCCCCAGAACTCCCTGGGGTGCAAGGACCCCTCCTCAAGGACATGGTGACACACCCCTCCCAGGATGCGGAAACCCCTCAAGGGCACAGGGACCTTCCTCCACAGGGACACCTTCCTCAAGGATGCAGGACCCCCCCCCCCAAGGGCATAAAGACCCCCCAGGACATAGACCCCACTAAAGGGGTGCAGGAACCCTCTTCCCAAGATGTAGAGACCCCCCCTAAGGGCACAAGGACCCCCCCAAGGGCGCAGGGACCTTCCTCAGGGTACAGACCCCCCCCCCAAGGACATGGAGACCCTCTCACCTGGATCCAGCAACTCCCCTCGAGCCCAGGGACCCCCCCAAAGGCTCAGGCCCCTGCCCAGACCCCCACCTGAAGGCAGTCAGATACTCCACGTCCCCGATCGGGGGGTCCACGCCGCCAGTCCAGGCGATGTTGATGTTGTAGCCCACTCCCAGCCCACTGCCCACCTGAGGCACAGCCACAGGTGACCCCCTGTGCCACATCCAGGGCCAGGGGGACACAGGGGGATCCCCACCCCTCCCCCAAACACCCTTGTACCTCCTCAGGGGCCCCACTGCCCGGGAAGAAGTTGCCGTCGTCGTAGCGGTGCAAGGAGATGTAGAGCACGTGGGGGTCACTGTAGAAGGCCTGCTGGGTCCCATTCCCATGGTGGATGTCCTGGGGGGAAACCCGTGATGTCAGGGATCCCTCCGCCCACCCATGGGGTCCCCATCACTCGCGGGGGGGTCCCCCTGCCCCCCCTACCCAGTCCACGATGAGGATCCTGCCCACGCTGAGCCGCTGCTGCAGCAGCTTGGCTGAGATGGCCACTGAGTTGAAGAAGCAGAAGCCCCTGGGAACAAAAGAGGACGAGGGACAGGGGACATTCAGTGGTGGGGTGACCCCCAGGACACCGTGGGGTCCCTCCCTGGGCGGGGGTCCCAGAGCTGTCCCCACACTCACATGGCTGTGGACTCCTCGGCGTGGTGGCCCGGGGGGGCGGATGACTGCGAAGCCGTTCTGTGGGGACAGAGAGAGGGATGTGTGAGGGACAGACAGGGACACGTGTGGGACACAGGGACAATGGAACATGCATGGGACACAGGGAGATGTGTGGGACAGAGTGGAACACACAGGGCCATCCACTGAAGAGTTGGATTCGATGATCCTTGTAGGTCCTTCCAACTCAGAATATTCTGCGACTGCGATGCTGAGGAGTGGTTTAAGGACACACAGGGACACGTAGTGTGGTGACAGAGGGACACACGTGGGCTGGGGACACAGAGGAAGGTGTGGGACACAAAGGGACATGTGTGGGACACAAAGGGACGTGTGGTGCAGGGACACAAAGGGACACGTGGGACAGAGGAACAAGTGGTGTGGGGACACACAAGGACAAGTGGCATGGGGATAGAGAGATGTGTGGGACAGAGGCACTTGTGGGACACAGAACGACACGTGTGAGACAGAAGGATACGCATAGGACAGAGGAACAGGAGTGGTGAGGGGAGAGAGACACGTGTGGCACAGGGAGGGACACATGCAAGAAGGCAGCACGTCTGCACACGAGCTGGCACAAGGAACCCTGCGCTCAGGGGAGTGTGCAAGAGAACAGCACATGCGTGCTCAGCCTTGCACAAGGACCATCTTGCCTCAGGGGAGTGTGCAAGATGGCAACACACACAAACAAGTGTGCACAGGGACTGTCACACCTCAGATGAGTGTGCAACGCAACACAGGCACACACAGAGGAGCGTGCACAGGGACTGTCACACCCCAAGTGAGTGTGCAAGGAGCACACACGTGCACGAGTGTCACAGCCCAGGTGAGCGTGCAAGTCCACACACACAAGCTTGCACAAGGGCTGTCACACCTCAGTTGAGTGTGCACAGGGACTGCCACAGCCCAGATGAGTGTGCAAGGAGCATACATACACACGAGTGCGTACGAGGACTGTCACATCCCAAATGACCGTGAAGGCAGCACACACACACACAGGAGTGCGCACAGGGACTATCACACCCCAGGTGAGTGTGCAAGGCAACACACATGCACACGAGTGTGCACAGGGACTGTCACAGCCCAGGTAAGTGTGCAAGACCACGCTCACCTTGAGTTCGCCCGCAGCCACTTTGAAGGCCAGCTCGAGCAGGCAGCCCACGGCCGTGCGCACTGCGCTCGACGAGTGCAGCTCATTCCACACCGTGTCACTGTCCACCTGGGGGGGGACACCGGGGATCAGTGGGGCCAGCCCACCCCGGGGACACCCCCCCTCCATGCCCCCAGACTCACCCCGATGCCCCCGCATGGTAGCACCGCATATGTCTTCTGCGTGATGGGACCTGAGGGGTGGAGCGGTGTGGTGGGATGGGGACAGCGGGGATAGGGGTATCCCAGGGGATAGGGGCATCCCTGGGCACCCCAAAGGATCGGGAACTGGAGGGGACAGGGGTACCCCATGGGACAGGGATGCCCCTAGGCAGCCCAAAGGACTGGGAACCCCATGGGACAGAGGGATCTCATGGGACTGGGGGATCCCATGGCACTGAGGAATCCCATGGACAGCCCAAAGCATTATGAACCCCAGGGGACAGGAGAATTCCATGGGTTAGTGGGACCTCTGAGCACCTGAAACGATGGGGAACCCCAGAGGACAGAGGGATCCCATGGGATAGGGGGACTCCTGGGGATCCCATGGGACAGGGGGACCTCTGAGCACCCCAAACAATTGGGAACCCCATAAGACAGGGGGATTCCATGGGATATGGGGACCTCTGAGCCCCCCAAAGGATTGAAAACCCCAGGGGACAAGAGAAACCCATTGGATGGGGGGAACTCCAGCCACTCCAAAGGATTGGGAACCCCAGGGTACAGAAGAATCCCATGGGACTGGGGACTCCTGGGACACCTAAGAGTTGGGCCATCCCATGGCATAAGGACACCTCACTGGACACGGGCTCTCCTGGACATCTAAAGGGACAGGGCACCCCAGGGAACAGATCCAAAGGAATAGGGGGTACAGGGTGACCCCAGTTCCAAAAGATGGGGGTCCCAGGCATCCAGGGCCCCCCCAACACCCACCCAGCAGCTTCTTGCTGTCCAGTTTCTGGCGGTTGAGGGGGCTGGTGCCGTAGAGCAGCGCGTGGTGCTCTGAGTGCACCGTCTGGATCTCCTCCAGCGTCGCCTTCCTGCCTCGGATGCGCTGGCAAAGGGGGCACAGGGGTGAGCCCCCCTCTCTCCAAGCAAACCCCAGCCCTCCCCCAGGACATGGGGTGCTCCCCTCACCTCACACTTCCCAAGCAGGCCGGTCTCCTGGAGCCGGGACCAGATGCTCTGGATGCGGCCGGCGTGCTCCGGGTGGATCGTGGTGTTCCCGCAGGTGCACTGGTGCTTCAGCATGAACGTGTCGTACACCACACCTGTGCCAGCAGCACGCCTGGCACCGGACCCCGGCACCCCCCCAGGGCTGGGGCACTGAGGGACATGGGCACCCCAGGGGATGGAGGGATCCCATGGGATTGGGGGTCCCCTGGGCACCCCGGGGGACTGGGAACCCCAGGGAATAGGGGGAATCTGTGGAATAGGAGGACCCCTGAGCACCCTGACCAACTGGGAATCCCATGGGACAGGGAATTTGTGGAATAGAAGGACTCCTGGGCACGCCAAGGGATTGGGCAACCCAGGGGACAGGGGAAGCCCATGGAATACGGGAACCCCGGGCACCCCAAGGGATTGGGAACCCCAGGAGACAGGAGGAATCTGTGGATTAGGGGAACCCTGGGCACCCTGAGCAAATGGGAATCCCAAGGGACAGGGAGAATCTGTGGAATAGGGGAACCCTGGGCACCCCAAGGGATTGGGAACCCAAAGTGACAGGGGGAACCCATGGAATAGGGGAACCCTGGGCACCCCAAGGGATTGGGAAACCCAGGGGACAGGGAGAACCTGTAGAATAGGAGGACCCTAGGCACTCTGAGCAATTAGGAATCCCAAGGGACAGGGAATCTGTAGAATACGGTAACCCTGGGCACCCGAAGGGATTGGGAACCCCAAGGGACAGGAGGAACCCATGGAATAAGGGGGATCCCGTAGGATATGGGGGCCCTTGGGCACCCTGAGCAATTGGGAACCCCAAGGGACAGGGGGAATCTGTGGGAGGATCCCTGGGCAACCCAAGGGAATAGGAACCCCAAGGGACAGGGAAAGCCCACGGGTACCCCAAGCAATTGGGAACCCCAGAACAGGAGGATTCCATGGGATATGAGGACACCTGGGCACCTTGAGGTATTAGGAACCCCAGGGGATAGGGGGATCCCACGGGACAGGGAGAATCCCAGACACCCTGAGGGACGGGAAACCATCTGGGAGAGGGGCCCATGGCACATGGGCACCCTGAAGGATGGGGAACAACCCCATCCCCTGGGGACAGGGGGACCCCAAACACCCCGAGAGACTGGGAACCCCATTGGACAGGGTCACCCCCAACTGCATCAAGGAATGGGACACTCGGGGTGGGGGGATACAGACATCCCTGGGGTCTACCATGGGATGGGGCACCCATGGGACACAGGGCCGGGGGGGGTCCCATGGGACAGGTGACACCTCATGGGACAGGAGCACCCTGAGGGATGTGGGACCCCAAGGGACAGAGGGCCCCCAGGGGACAGAGGGACCCCGACCCCTGTTGCCCCCATACCTGTGGTGAAGAGGTGCTTGGGGGGCCCCTCAGGCACGGGGGGCTTGACGCTGGCAGGGGACGACTGGGTGCGGGTGAGGGCCGGGTGGGACAGTGCCAGGACCCCCAGGGGGGGCGTGGGGTAAAGCTGCAGTGGTGCCTCGGGGTACACCTGGGGAAGGAGACCCCAACATGACCTCCCATCAGCCCCCACGGCCAAGGGGGGGGATGGGGGATGAGTCATGGCAGGGAACGGGG